GTGAAACGGTACAGAACTATAGTTTACAAAACTATAATAAGGTAATGAGACATTTTACTTTACCTTTGCCACCTTTGATTAAAAAGAAAAAATAAAGGCAACCAAAACATGAGATTTCACAAGTAGCAAAACAATCCAGATGATGTCTTTTTAAGGGCAAGAATACTTCAGATGAATATTCTGTTCTAAAGCGTTCTAGTCATTCACATAGAAACATTTTAGCTTTACTGCAGAGAAATATAGCTGGTACCTAACAATCAGGAGAGAGGAGACAAGAAGAGCAGAAGAAAGCACTTCTGGGTAGAAGTAACAGCTCGTACAAGGAAACAGTGGCAAAAGACATTTGATTGACTGGTAAAAATTTAAAAGTGGGGTCTGGACATGGTGGCTTTGACCTGTAATCCCAGCACACTGGGAGGCCAAGGTGAGAGGATGGCTTGAAGGCAGGAGTTTGAGACCGGCCTGAACAAGAGCAAAACCCCATCTCTACAAAAAATAGAAAAATTAGCCAGAGGTGGTTTGCCTGTGGTACCAGCTATTTGGGGAGGTAGCTTAAAGCAGGAGGATTGTTTAAGCCCAGGAGTTTGAGGTTACAATGAATTATGATCACACCACTGACCACACTCCAGCCCAAAAGACATAGTGAGACCCAGTCTAAAAAAAAAAAAAAAGACAAAAAAATATTAAGGCACCAGAGTCTGGACTGGGAAGTTGAAGAAATAGAAAGGGCCAAACTCTCTTGGTTCCATAAGCTATAAGTAGTAGTATCACTTGCTTCCAAGTGATTTTCCAATCACCCCCAGATGTGATCATTTTGGTGGCTCTACACCAGTGCCAGTTTTCGGACTGTTTTTCTATTCAGTAAAAGTAGGTCATCTGAGTTCTAAGAACTTAAATTCTGATCATCTGAGTTGTAAGAATTTAAGTTCTTAGGCAGGTGCTGTGGCTCATTATCTGTACTCCTAGCACTCCAAGAGGCTGAGGCAGGAGGATCAATGGAATTCTAGACTATCCTGAGCGAGAGGGAGACCTGTCTCTAATAAAAACAGAAAAATTAGAATGGTGGGTCTTCTAGTGGGCACCTGAGTCCCAGGTACTCAGAAGCTGAGGTAGGAGGACTGCTTGAAATCAGGAATTGGAGATTTCTGTGAGCTAGGCTGACACCATGGCACTCTAGCCTGGGGAACAGAGTGATGCTGTCTCCAAAACAGAAAAAAGAATTAAGATTCTTCCCAAGGAAACCAATGAGCTATTTTTTACTTAAGATGGTTAAAAAAAAAAAAAAAAAGCACAACCAAACAAAACAAAATTGGTCAGACATGGTGGTTCATGCCTATAGTCCTAACGCTTTGGGAGGCCAAGATGGGAGGATCATGTGAGGCCCAGAGTTCAAGATTAGCGTGAGCAACATAACAGACCTCATCTCTACAAAATATAGAAAAATAAGCTGAGCGTAGTGGTACCCGCTTTCTAGTCCCACTACTTGGGAGGCTGAGGGCAGGAGAATCCCCTGAGCCCAAGAGTCTGAGGTTGCAGAAAGCTATGATGATGCTACTGCACCCCAGCTCCAGCAACAGACCCTGTCTCAAACTAAAATAAAATAAATAATACAAAACCCATAAACATTCTAAGCATTATGATTTTTCCCAAACTGTCCTCTTCCAGAAAATGCTGCTCATCAGTGGTTGAAAGCAGTTCAACAGGTGCTCACAACACGAATGGAAACTGAATTAAAATGTAAATCTCAAAGATGCTTTGATATTTTCACTAAAAGGTTTATGGCACTTTAATTCTTTAAAATAAACCGAAACTCAATGAAATGGAAAGAGAAGCTTACCATTCTCTAGTTCTGCTACCTGCGCGTACACACAAAGAGCTGTCCTCCTGACTTTCTACCTCGCACACATTGCTCATTCAGAAATAATTCTTTTTCTATCAATACAAAACTTCTGAAAGACAATTCACTGGATACACACACATCTCAAAGCCACGCGTGGTATCGGAAGCTTTCGTCCAAATTAAACTGCTCCATGGGGTAGTACCAGGAAAACCGCAAAAGCCGAGAAAGATAAACAGAAAACACTTCGGTCTAAATATAGTCACTCTGAGCGATAAGGCAGAGCACCAGCTAGAAGAGAGGAAGGCTACACAGGATGAGCGAAAGAAGCCTAAGGGTCTTCTCTGTCGCATTTCTTGGGCGCGCCGTACTCGCTCCGCGGCCCCAGGGGTCCTCGGGGACTCGGGTGGGGAGAGAGCAGGGGACCAGCGGCCGCCCGGCGGAAAGGGGGAGGGTAACGCCCCCTTCCCTGGGCGGAGGAAGGGAACTGGGAGTGGGGAAACCGCGGCTCACTGAAACACCGGGTCAAGAAACCCCTCGGCAGCCGCCCACGCCCGCAGGCCCCTGGCTCCAGGGCTCGACCGGCTCCCAGGCTCGGGCTCGCCCTCCCCGGCCGCGGACTCACCAGCTGCAAGCCTTTGAGAACATGCCGGTACCAAACGAGCCGCCCCGGGAAGAAGCAGGCAGCGAGGCCGCTCCGGGGGCCTCTGACGGGGCCCGGGTCCTCCTCCGTGGTGGGGCTGTACACCGCTCCGTTCTCCATCGCCCAAGGCCTGGGAACGCGGCGGCCGCAGCAGGAACGTAGCTGACTTGGCCGATTTCGCGGACTCCAGAAGTCCCCCAAGCCCAGAAAGGC